AATGTATCGTTACCTTTATAATTGAGTTGGGGGGCGGGGTGGGGGGGGGAGGGTGTCTGTCCTGTCTTGGCTACTGGAGATTGACAGCTGGCTGTGTGCTCCCTTCCACACTCTAACCCCTGTGTGTGTCCAAGCCCTGGGGGGCTAACAAGCATCTTGGGCCTCTGAAAAGTATCTGTCCCCACAAGATGGGCCCAGACCACTGGCGGGCACAGTACCCTGGCCACTAGTAGGGGGATGTTACCAGGTGGTGAGCAGAAGGGCTCCTTAAGCAAGGCCATGGCCACATCTGACCTTGAGGTAACAGGATGGATGTGGGCTCTTGGCAGTGGAGATTGCTCATCCAGCGGGGACAGGACGGTCTGGCTTCTTACCTGTCTCTGTGGCCCTCCTCACTCCCTTCCCTCAGCCCATGGCCTTTATTGGAGTTGGCTTCCGTGGGGGACCAGGACCGTGTCCTACACCATTCCTGCCACACACCTTGGCTCTTGGCACTCAAGGGCTAGGATGGTGATTTCTTTGTTCTCTAGTTCTCCTCGGACAATCTTCCTTTAAGGCAATATTTTCAAACTTTTTGGACTGTTACATACAACAAGACTTAGATTTTACATTAAGTTGCGGTACACCTCCATAAATATATATGTGAAAATACAATCAAAAGTTTTAAGTAATAGTACTTTTCTGACAAAAGACGTACTCTGAGATTTTCTTCTCTAGTCTGCCCTGTCATTAAAAAGACAGATTGGCCGAAACTGGTTTGGCTCAGTGGATAGAGCGTCGGCCTTTGGACTGAAGGGTCCCGGGTTCGATTCCGGTCAAGGGCATGTACCTGGGTTGCGGGCACCTCCCCAGTGGTAGATCTGCAGGAGGCAGCTGATCGATGTTTCTCTCTCATCGATGTTTCTAACTCTCTATCTCTCTCCCTTCCTCTCTGTAAAAAAATCAATAAAATATATTTTTTTTAAAAAAAAAGACAGATTGGTCCACTTACTCAACTGATGTCATGGCCCTCTATTGGGTCCCAATGAGTAGATTGAAACTCACCACCCTGCAGTCATGGGACACTGTGGTCTAGGAGTGTGGGGTAGAGTTGTGTGGGTGAGGCTTGAGGAAACAAGTGACAAATTGCCATGGGGAATGGAAGAGTAGGTTTATTCCTCTTCACTGAGTCTTTCCGTCTGGAGGATCACCTCATGTCTTCAGCACCATTCCCACGAATGCCTGCTGGCCCCCAATTCTGCAGAGCAACCTGGGGAGAGGGCATATTCCCCCCTCCCGCCCCAAACCCCAGCATGAGCTGTGAGCTCTTCTGTATCTTTAATTATTGAGTCTATTATATGTGCATAAAACCACATCTCTTAAGGCCAAAATTAATTAGCAAGGACAGGACAAGTCTAAATTCATGATGAG